CTCTGAATTTCTCTTCAAGCATAATAACTTGAAAACTTCTTTCTCTGAGAACTTAACCTTTTCTATTTTCTATTTTAATTGGTGCTCTTGGTGCCATCACCTAGATATATTCAGAACGTTTTCCATATAATAAATAACTCTTTGAGGACTTTGGAATAGTTTTTTGTTTGTTTCTGGGTTATAATGAAAATATTTAGACTCTAATTTAAAAATTCCCCACCTGCTGGGATTAACAAGGCTCCTTTGTAGTTTGGAGAAAAACATTAAAATATTTCAGAAGGTTCTGCTTCATTGCACTTAGAGTTACTCATTCCATCAAAATGTCTCTTTCAATGCAGGTTTTAAAAATTTCTATCCTTTCCTATCCCATATTCTGCTTAACTCTTAAGAATTCTGCTTTATTAAGCAAGTACAAATGAAACAAGTGCTTATTTAAATATTCCAAGGTAAAAAAGTCTTCGTATTATGTGACTGTTGACAAGTTTCTATAATTCTGAGTCATAATAAATAATTTCTGCTTCTAGTCACTAGAAAATGACAAGATGAGACTTGAGAAAGACTTGACATTCAAAGAAACTCAAATAAAAGAGTATGAAGAACTCTTGGCATCGGTCAGAGCAAATAATCGCCAGCAGCAGGTAAGTTGATGGTTTTATTGATGATAAACTAGATCGATAGCTTTCATTTGCACAATTACTGCACATTGGAATTATGAGACACAATCCAGACAGAATTAAAATATGATGGAACAATTTATTCATATGAGAATTGAGTGGCTTTGGGTATTTACAATGACTGAAAAACTTGTCAGAAAAAGAGATAACCTTATATATTTTAAATATAAAGAATATATGGTATACAATTATCTGTGTTCTTGGGCATCAAGAATTGTGTAAATACCAAAAATCTAGGCTTACTTATTCATTTGATCTACTAACATGTCAATGGAAAAAAGGATTTGCAGATTTAACATATGTTTGTACAGTGAATAAATGAATGAATAAACTCTAGGGGAGTTTCTTCAGATGCCTGAGCAGAGAGGATTCCTAGGAAATTGTATGTAATGAGTCTCTAAGGCTCACTTCTTACTAATCTTCACTCCCATGACTGTCCCAAATTTTTGCTCAGTTGCTACTTGTCACATAAGTAATCAGGCATATGGTAATTTTTTGTGCCCACTAGAAGTCAGAATATAGTATTGTCAAAGAGTAGCAACCGTCTGATTATTAAATTGGAACATTGAAAACTCATCTAGTATTTATTCCTTCTTACTCAAGATAGGCAAATTAGGCTAGAGACAAGACTCTAATATCCTACATGGCTAATTTAATATATCATCTAAGAGCAAGAATATAAGAAAATTGGGCATGGAAAATATCTACTTGATTTTGGCTGGTGTGGTAGCTCATGCCTGTAATCCTAGCACTTTGGAAGGCCAAGGCAGGAGGATCACTTGAGGCCAAGGTTTCAAGACCAGCCTGGACAACATAGTAAGGCCCCATCTCTAAAAAAAATTAAAAAATTAGCAGGGTGTGGTGGTGCATACCTGTTGTCCCAGCTATTTGGGAGGCTGAGGCAGGAGGATTGCTTGAGCCCAGGAGCTCGAGGCTATAGTGAGCTATGATAATGCCACTGTACTTCAGCCTGGGTAACACAGTGAGATCTTGTCGCTAAAAAATGAAAGCATATTACTTGATTTGACTGAATTAATCAATTAAAAGAGCACTTCCCTGCAAAAAGTAAAATGCATTTGTCTCATGTACTTGTGTCTTCCTTACAGCAAGGACTTCAAGACTCAAGCTCAAAATGCCAGGCATTGGAAGAAAACAATCTCTCTCTTCGACATACACTATCAGACATGGAATACAGACTAAAAGAACTGGAATATTGTAAACGTAATTTAGAGCAAGAGAATAAAAACCTTAGAATGCAGGTATTAAGACTTTGTTTTAAATATATATTATTGCCTTAGTTATGCCATTGTAATCCTAGCATTGGCAATAATAAAGATGTATGTGTGTGTGTGTGTGTGTGTGTGTGTGTCCTATTCATCTTGAGAAAATACATGGACTGCTTTCTGATGAACTCACACATAGTCAGGTCTTATCTCAGTGACATTTAAGCTTTATAATGCAGTTCCTGAAAATCACTTTCATTATTTCAGTGTCTTCTTTAATCACGTTTTTCACCTAATAGTAAACCTTCTAACATAATGTATATTTCCTTCATAACAATACAATTACAGAAAGTTATTTTATCTTGTGTAGGTTTCTGAGACTTGTCCAGGCCCAATGTTGCAGACTAAAATGGATGAGATTGGAAACCATTACATGGAGATGGTAAAAAACTTGAGAATGGAGAAAGATAGAGAGATCTGCAAGCTAAGGGTATGTTGATCCTTACAGTGCATAAATACACAGGACAGCACAAACTTTCTAACAAGATAATGATGGTTTCAAGTTTAAAGCTACAAGAGAAAATCAACTAGAGTTTTAGGAATATGCCATAGAAGCTTTTGTTTTAAAAAGCATTATCATATATAAAATATCACTGTTAAATTGTTTTCTAATTTAGCTTAATCTGTTCTAGGAAAGTAAAAGAAGACATTAATTTTAGTGTTTTTTTTATTAATTTATTTTTTGGATATCAGTGAAGGACTCTCTATGATTTTGCTTAAAGCATGCTGACGCAGGCAAGAGCAACATTTGAGATTATCCAGCAAAGCCACAGTTGGATTCATAAAAATCCTCAACTTTGAGGGATACTAAATAGCAAGGACTTTGTCAAGCATGAGAATAAAAATAGTGTTGAATTTTATGTACCTGTAATTG